ACACACACACACGATTATTTTGTCGAATTTGTCACAAACTGACGCCCGTTTTGGATAGCCTAAATTTAAGTATGATTTTGAAATATTCAACTTCTTAAACATAGGGCCTTTCTATAGTGCGTTCAAAAATTCTTATTATTGCTTTTGTTCTCCCAATTCAGGAGAACCATGCATTGCGACACATAGACTTAAGCCACAACAACTTTCGGTGTAAAGGAGGCATACTCATCGCCGATGGACTGGGTGAGTTAGTGACATCATTGTTTGAGATTTAATTAACGTTAATTTTAAGCAAAGAATAGAAGTAGAAGCTGCAGATGACAGGACATTCTTTCTTCCTCAAAGCTTGAACTTTTATGGGAATTCTCGTGAAACTCTACATGAGCATCTGCAAAGTTCATAATAATTCACACAACTCGATTCGAACTCAAATTAGTATCTGACTGTGCCACATGGATTGAGATAATACTTTTCCCTACTTTTCACATTTTTTGGTGCAACAGATTTAAAAAATAATTTTTGAAATGTAATTTTAAAGGAATTATAGCTATGTTTGGTCCCCCCCCAAAAAAAAAACCCAACAACAACAACCCCACAACAAAACAAACAATAATTTAAAAAAACCCAGCAGCAACAACAAAAAAACCAAAACAAACAACAATAACAAAAATAACAAAAACCAACAACAACCAAAGCAACCAAAAAAAAGTGAACAACGCCAAACATATATAGATCCGCTTACATTCTTCGCAGGAGAAAAAAAAAGAATGAAGAAGCACGTTTACGGCTTACTCTACTAAAACGTGTTTTATTGTCACTTTTTGTTTGTTTTTGTAATGTGTTACAGCGCTCGTAACTGCATAAGTTCATTTGATGAGCGCCAAGGGATGGATGTCAACGGAGAAGTCTAAACGAGGAATCAGGCCTACTCTGCTCACCTCTCTAACCTCAACAGCACAAAGTCTGCTTCGACTATCAGTGCACCTTGGAAAATATAAGTTCACAAGACAGTGACAAACATACAAAAGAAGTAGAGGAAACATGACAATAGTAAGGATGAGGAAAGAAAAAGCAGCAGTTCCCCCTATGTTGTTTCGGCACAGTATGAGCACGACAATGATAAATCAGCCCATTTGCAATTCTACTGTGTTAATATCCCCCATTTGAGAATGTCCTAAAGACATCTCAGTCAGAAGCACTGCCCGGGGG